GCTCTGATCGCACAGTGCAGTGCGGGGGAGTGTTGGGAGGTGTGGAGATCGCTGTATAAATGCAGGTTGTTGCTGTTGTTGGGATCGCGGCAGCGACGCGAGCGGGAAATCAGCTTCACCTGAAAACCCCCGGAACAAACCCCAGACCACAATCTGAGCCATAAGTCTTTATTTCAGTCAATGAAGCAGTTACAGAATCTGTCAATCAGTCCCCAGCCCCTCCCCCACACAGCCCCCCCAACCCTCCTCCCTCCCTCACAGCCCCCACCCACTCACATCCCCCCCCCCACCCGCCGCCCCTCCGACAGACAGTGACAGACTTACTGATTGATCACAAATCAATTATTTTTTCTCAGCAGCAAAATCAGCAAAAAACAGTATAAATGGTTTACATCATCAGCTCAAAGCACATCCCAGACCCCCCCCCACCCACAGCCCCCACCCCGAGCCCCCAATACTAACCCCCACGAGATTACCCCACCCCCATGATCTTAACCCTCCACCCAAAAACTACCCCTCCTGCCCCAAAGCCCCCCACCCCCCACCCCCCACCGCAGGCCATACAGCCATTTGAATGATTTGATTATAAAATTTGAAGCAAAAGCAAAACAAAGGCCCCGACCCCGACCCCAATAAACAGTCTGAATTAATGGGGAAAATCCTCCGGAGCCAACGTTCCTCCCGAGGAGCCCGGAGTCCAGAGCGGGAATCCCTGAAACAGGGAAATCAGTGTAAACAGAGGAACATCACCACAATCTCCACAATCAATACAAACACCTCAATCACCACTAACACCACCACAAACACCATCACAATCACCATCACAATCACCACAAACACTACAATCACCAAAACACCTCAATCACCACTAACACCGCCACAAACACCATCACAATCACAATCACAATCACCACAAACACCTCAATCACCACAAACACTTTCAATCACCACTAACACCACCGCAAACACCATCACAATCACCACCGCAATCACCATCACAATCACCACAAACACTACAATCACCAAAACACCTCAATCACCACTAACACCGCCACAATCACCACAATCACAATCACCACAAACACTACAATCATCACAATCATTACCACAATCACCACCACAATCACAGGTATTATTATTATTATTATTATTAAATCACCACAAACGCACCTCACGGACATAGACCGTACACCTCACAAACACACACATCATACACACACACACACACACACAGATCAGCTCACAACACACCATACACACACACACACTGTACATCTAACACACACAGTACACACACACCTGGTGGTTACCTCAAGCGGGTGGGTTTGACGAGTTATTTGATGAACTGTCCATCGTGTTACAAGCTTCTAAATAAAATAAATGGGATGTTACACAGGTTACAGACTACGTATACATACACCCAGGCTACAGAGCGCACACACACACACACACAGACTACACGCCACACTCACAGACACACAGTCTACAGATTACAAACACACACAGATTACAAACACATACATACAGACTACAAGCTACACATAAACATCTAAACTACAGATTACAAACAAGACACATACAGCCTACATGCCACATACACACACACACAGCCTACAGGCCACATACACACACACACAGCCTACAGGCCACATACACACACACACAGCCTACAGGCCACATACACACACACAGCCTACAGGCCACATACACACACACACACACACAGCCTACAGGCCACATACACACACACACAGCCTACAGGCCACATACACACACACACACACACAGCCTACAGGCCACATACACACACACACAGACTACAGGCCACACATACACACACACAGCCTACAGGCCACATACACACACACACAGCCTACAGGCCACATGCACACACACACAGCCTACAGGCCACATGCACACACACACAGCCTACAGGCCACATGGACACACACAGACTACAGGCCACATACACACAATAGATCATAGATCACAGAATATTACAGCACAGAAGTAGGTGATTTGGCCCACTGTGCTTGTGCCGGCGCTTTGGAAGAGCTACCAACTACCCCCACCCCCCCAGCTCTCTCCCCAATCAGTCCCACTCCCCCGCGCTCTCCCCAATCAATCCCATTGCCCCCGCTCTTAGCCCAACTAGCCCCACTCCCCTGCTCTCTCACTAACTAGCCCCACTGGTCAGAACCCCGCCAACAGGCGTCACTCACAGTCTGACTGACAGGCGTCACTCACAGTCCGACTGACAGGCGTCACTCACAGTCCGACTGACAGGCGTCATTCACAGTCTGACTCACAGGTGTCACTCACAGTCTGATTGGCAGGCGTCACAGTCTCACTGGCAGACGTCATTCACAGTCTAACTGACAGGCGTCACTCACAGTCTGACTGACAGGCGTCACTCACAGTCTGACTCACAGGTGTCACAGTCTGACTGGCAGGCGTCACAGTCTCACTGACAGACGTCACTCACAGTCTAACTGACAGGCGTCACTCACAGTCTGACTGACAGGCATCACTCACAGTCCGATTGACAGGCGTCACTCACAGTCCGACTGACAGGTGTCACTCACAATCCGACTGATAGGCATCACTCACAGTCTGACTGACAGGCATCACTCACGGTCCGACTGACAGGCATCACTCACAGTCTGACTGACAGGTATCACTCACAGTCTGACTGACAGGAGTCACAGTCTCACTGACAGGCATCACTCACAGTATTGTGGTGTTTGCAGTGGAGATGGGGAGGTTGCACACGGATTGTGCACTCACTATTAGTGTGTGGTGTTTGCAGTGTGGAGATGGGAGGTTGCACACTGATTGTGTACTCACTATTAGTGTGTGGTGTTTGCAGTGTGGAGATGGGAGGTTGCACACTGATTGCGTACTCACTATTAGTGTGTGGTGTTTGCAGTGTGGAGATGGGAGGTTGCACACTGATTGTGTACTCACTATTAGTGTGTGGTGTTTGCAGTGTGGAGATGGGAGGTTGCACACTGATTGTGTACTCACTATTAGTGTGTTGTGTTTGCAGTGTGGAGATGGGGAGGTTGCAGTGTGGAGATGGGGAGATTGCACACTGATTGTGTACTCACTATTAGTGTGTGGTGTTTGCAGTGTGGAGATGGGGAGGTTGCAGTGTGGAGATGGGGAGATTGCACACTGATTGTGTACTCACTATTAGTGTGTGGTGTTTGCAGTGTGGAGATGGGGAGGTTGCAGTGTGGAGATGGGGAGATTGCACACTGATTGTGTACTCACTGTTAGTGTGTGGTGTTTGCAGTGTGGAGATGGGGGAGCCGCCCCTCGTACTCTCGGCTGCGACGATCCTGAAGGAAATCTGCTATAAAAATCGGGACGACATGTCGGCCGGATTCATCGTGGCCGGGTGGGACCGGAAGAAAGGAGCCCAGGTACAGGCAGACCCACTGCCCTCCCACAGGGCTACAGTCACACTATTACACTGAGACCTACTGACAGGGGATACAGTCAGACACTATTACACTGACATGACACTGTCTCCCTCACAGGTAAACACTGTGTTTCCATGACGTTTACACAGTATCTGTCACTGATCACACTGTGTGTGTCTCTCGGGTTTACACAGTGTCTGTCACTGATCGCACTGTGTCTCTCTCAGGTTTACACAGTGTCTGTCACTGATCACAATGTGTGTCTCTCAGGTTTACACAGTGTCTGTCACTGATCACACTGTGTGTCTCTCAGGTTTACACAGTGTCTGTCACTGATCACACTGTGTCTCTCTCAGGTTTACACAGTGTCTGTCACTGATCACACTGTGTGTCTCAGGTTTACACAGTGTCTGTCACTGATCACACTGTGTGTCTCTCTCAGGTTTACACAGTGTCTGTCACTGATCACACTGTGTGTCTCTCAGGTTTACACAGTGTCTGTCACTGATCACACTGTGTGTCTCTCTCAGGTTTATACAGTGTCTGTCACTGATCACACTGTGTCGCTCTCAGGTTTACACAGTGTCTGTCACTGATCACACTGTGTGTCTCTCAGGTTTACACAGTGTCTGTCACTGATCACACTGTGTGTCTCTCAGGTTTATACAGTGTCTGTCACTGATCACACTGTGTCTCTCTCAGGTTTACACAGTGTCTGTCACTGATCACACTGTGTGTCTCTCAGGTTTACACAGTGTCTGTCACTGATCACACTGTGTGTCTCTCAGGTTTACACAGTGTCTGTCACTGATCACACTGTGTCTCTCTCTGGTTTGCACAGTGTCTGTCGCTGATCACACTGTGTCTCTCTCAGGTTTATACATTGTCTGTCACTGATCACACTGTGTCTCTCGGGTTCATACAGTGTCTGTCACTGATCACACTGTGTGTCTCTCAGGTTTACACAGTGTCTGTCACTGATCACACTGTGTGTCTCTCTCAGGTTTATACAGTGTCTGTCACTGATCGCTCTGTGTCGCTCTCAGGTTTATACAGTGTCTGTCACTGATCACACTGTGTCTCTCAGGTTCACACAGTGCCTGTCACTGATCACACTGTGTGTCTCTCAGGTTTATACAGTGTCTGTCACTGATCACACTGTGTCTCTCAGGTTTACACAGTGTCTGTCACTGATCACACTGTGTCTCTCAGGTTTACACAGTGTCTGTCACTGATCACACTGTGTCTCTCAGGTTTACACAGTGTCTGTCACTGATCACACTGTGTGTCTCTCAGGTTTACACAGTGTCTGTCACTGATCACACTGTGTCTCTCAGGTTTACACAGTGTCTGTCACTGATCACACTGTGTCTCTCAGGTTTATACAGTGTTTATCACTGATCACACTGTGTGTCTCTCAGGTTTACACAGTGTCTGTCACTGATCACACTGTGTCGCTCTCAGGTTTACACAGTGTCTGTCACTGATCACAATGTGTCTCTCAGGTTTACACAGTGTCTGTCACTGATCACACTGTGTGTCTCTCAGGTTTACACAGTGTCTATCGCTGATCACAATGTGTCTCTCAGGTTTATCGCTGATCACACTGTGTGTGTCTCTCAGGTTTACACAGTGTCTGTCACTGATCACACTGTGTGTCTCTCAGGTTTACACAGTGTCTGTCACTGATCACACTGTGTGTCTCTCAGGTTTACACAGTGTCTGTCACTGATCACACTGTGTGTCTCTCAGGTTTACACAGTGTCTGTCACTGATCACAATGTGTGTCTCTCAGGTTTACACAGTGTCTGTCACTGATCACACTGTGTCTCTCAGGTTTATACAGTGTTTATCACTGATCACACTGTGTGTCTCTCAGGTTTACACAGTGTCTGTCACTGATCACACTGTGTCGCTCTCAGGTTTACACAGTGTCTGTCACTGATCACAATGTGTCTCTCAGGTTTACACAGTGTCTGTCACTGATCACACTGTGTGTCTCTCAGGTTTACACAGTGTCTATCGCTGATCACAATGTGTCTTCAGGTTTATCGCTGATCACACTGTGTCTCTCAGGTTTACACAGTCTCTGTCACTGATCACAATGTGTCTCTCAGGTTTACACAGTGTCTGTCACTGATCACACTGTGTGTCTCTCAGGTTTACACAGTGTCTGTCACTGATCACACTGTGTGTCTCTCAGGTTTACACAGTGTCTGTCACTGATCACACTGTGTGTCTCTCAGGTTTACACAGTGTCTGTCACTGATCACACTGTGTCGCTCTCAGGTTTACACAGTGTCTGTCACTGATCACACTGTGTCTCTCTCTGGTTTACACAGTGTCTGTCACTGATCACACTGTGTGTCTCTCAGGTTTACACAGTGTCTGTCACTGATCACACTGTGTGTCTCTCAGGTTTACACAGTGTCTGTCACTGATCACACTGTGTGTCTCTCAGGTTTACACAGTGTCTGTCACTGATCACACTGTGTGTCTCTCAGGTTTACACAGTGTCTGTCACTGATCACACTGTGTCGCTCTCAGGTTTACACAGTGTCTGTCACTGATCACACTGTGTGTCTCAGGTTTACACAGTGTCTGTCACTGATCACACTGTGTCTCTCAGGTTTACACAGTGTCTGTCACTGATCACACTGTGTGTCTCTCAGGTTTACACAGTGTCTGTCACTGATCACACTGTGTCTCTCAGGTTTACACAGTGTCTGTCACTGATCACACTGTGTCTCTCAGGTTTACACAGTGTCTGTCACTGATCACACTGTGTGTCTCTCAGGTTTACACAGTGTCTGTCACTGATCACACTGTGTCTCTCAGGTTTATACTGTGTTTATCACTGATCACACTGTGTGTCTCTCTCAGGTTTACACAGTGTCTGTCACTGATCACACTGTGTCGCTCTCAGGTTTACACAATGTCTGTCACTGATCACAATGTGTCTCTCAGGTTTACACAGTGTCTGTCACTGATCACACTGTGTGTCTCTCAGGTTTACACAGTGTCTATCGCTGATCACAATGTGTCTCTCAGGTTTACACAGTGTCTATCGCTGATCACACTGTGTGTGTCTCTCAGGTTTACACAGTGTCTGTCACTGATCACACTGTGTGTCTCTCAGGTTTACACAGTGTCTGTCACTGATCACACTGTGTGTCTCTCAGGTTTACACAGTGTCTGTCACTGATCACACTGTGTGTCTCTCAGGTTTATACAGTGTCTGTCACTGATCACACTGTGTGTCTCTCAGGTTTACACAGTGTCTGTCACTGATCACACTGTGTGTCTCTCAGGTTTACACAGTGTCTGTCACTGATCACACTGTGTGTCTCTCAGGTTTATACAGTGTCTGTCACTGATCACACTGTGTCGCTCTCAGGTTTACACAGTGTCTGTCACTGATCACACTGTGTGTCTCTCAGGTTTACACAGTGTCTGTCACTGATCACACTGTGTGTCTCTCAGGTTTACACAGTGTCTGTCACTGATCACACTGTGTGCTCTCAGGTTTACACAGTGTCTGTCACTGATCACACTGTGTGTCTCTCAGGTTTACACAGTGTCTGTCACTGATCACACTGTGTGTCTCTCAGGTTTACACAGTGTCTGTCACTGATCACACTGTGTGTCTCTCAGGTTTACACAGTGTCTGTCACTGATCACACTGTGTTCTCTCAGGTTTACACAGTGTCTGTCACTGATCACACTTGTGTCTCTCAGGTTTACACAGTGTCTGTCACTGATCACATGTGTCTCTCAGGTTTACACAGTGTCTGTCACTGATCACACATGTGTGTCTCTCAGGTTTACACAGTGTCTGTCACTGATCACACTGTGTGTCTCTCAGGTTTACACAGTGTCTGTCACTGATCACACTGTGTCGCTCTCAGGTTTACACAGTGTCTGTCACTGATCACACTGTGTCTCTCAGGTTTACACAGTGTCTGTCACTGATCACACTGTGTGTCTCTCAGGTTTACACAGTCTCTGTCACTGATCACAATGTGTCTCTCAGGTTTACACAGTGTCTGTCACTGATCACACTGTGTGTCTCTCAGGTTTACACAGTGTCTGTCACTGATCACACTGTGTGTCTCTCAGGTTTACACAGTGTCTGTCACTGATCACACTGTGTGTCTCTCAGGTTTACACAGTGTCTGTCACTGATCACACTGTGTGTCTCTCAGGTTTACACAGTGTCTGTCACTGATCACACTGTGTGTCTCTCAGGTTTACACAGTGTCTGTCACTGATCACACTGTGTCTCTCTCACGTTTACACAGTGTCTGTCACTGATCACACTGTGTGTCTCTCAGGTTTACACAGTGTCTGTCACTGATCACACTGTGTGTCTCTCAGGTTTACACAGTGTCTGTCACTGATCACACTGTGTCTCTCTCAGGTTTACACAGTGTCTGTCACTGATCACACTGTGTCTCTCTCTGGTTTACACAGTGTCTGTCAATGATCACTGATCACATGTGTCTCTCAGGTTTACACAGTGTCTGTCACTGATCACACTGTGTGTCTCTCAGGTTTACACAGTGTCTGTCACTGATCACACTGTGTGTCTCTCAGGTTTATACAGTGTCTGTCACTGATCACACTGTGTCTCTCAGGTTTACACAGTGTCTGTCACTGATCACACTGTGTGTCTCTCAGGTTTACACAGTGTCTGTCACTGATCACACTGTGTGTCTCTCAGGTTTACACAGTGTCTGTCACTGATCACACTGTGTTGCTCTCAGGTTTACACAGTGTCTATCACTGATCACACTGTGTGTCTCTCAGGTTTACACAGTGTCTGTCACTGATCACACTGTGTCGCTCTCAGGTTTACACAGTGTCTGTCACTGATCACACTGTGTCTCTCTCTGGTTTACACAGTGTCTGTCACTGATCACACTGTGTGTCTCTCAGGTTTACACAGTGTCTATCACTGATCACACTGTGTGTGTCTCTCAGGTTTACACAGTGTCTGT